CCTTTAGCACTATACAGACAAAATAAAAGCTTATTAAATGAATAAATTAGTGGACACACTTATTTTTGTATATGGTCAGTTATAATTATAAAATTGTTGAACCTAGTGACTTAGGCCTATAATCCACCACTCAAGAGGATGAGGCAGGAGGATAACAAGTTCAAGTCTTGCCTGGGCTCTAGAGTGAGTCCAATGCTGGTCTGGACGACTTAGTAAGACCCTGTCTCAAAATTAAAAAAAAAAAAAAAGCAAAAGACTGAAGATATAGCTGAGTGGTACAGGTACAGCAGGTACAGCACCTACCTAGCATATAGGAGGTCCTAAGTTCAGTCCCTAGTATTGAAAAACAAGTCTTGAGCCAAACTATTCATTTGGATGAGAAGAGTAAAATGGTGAGAAATCCCAGGGATGCTACAGCTCCTCAGACTATGCCTTTGGTTGACCTGGACCAATCCCGAGCATATAGCCCTACTCATGTTACATTATACAAAGGAACTGATGAGGAAGAAAATGTAGAACAGTTGAGAGATAAATAAAAATGTTGTCATAAAGCAAAGCCTGAGGTTTTCTTGGTTTCTCTTTAGGATTGATGGAGAAGAATCTTTTAGTCATTATAAGACATGAACTGTGGTTATTTATAACTTCAAGATTTTCCAAAAGGATGTAGTTTACCAAACTGTTCCCCACAATTCAAATTCAGTTTCCCTTACATAATAAAAAATATGACCACTAACTAGTTCTAAACAGAAGCTTGGGAGATTGTGGTTCACACTGACATGACTCAATCCATGGTTCCTATCAATGAGTCAGAGTTAAGCATCGCATTAGATTGGGGTTCAGTGAGTTGTTGTGCTGGATAGCTTTAGTTGTCAGCTTGACATGCCTGGGTTGAGGGACCCTCAATTGGGGAATTACCTCCATTGGACTGGCCTGTTGCCATGTCTTTGGGGGCATTTTCTTGATTGTTGAGTGATGTGGGAGGGCCCAGTGCACTGTTCGCAGTGCCACCCCTGGGTAGGTGGTCCTGTGTTGTATAAGAAAGCAGGTTGAGCATGGGCCAGAGGAGCAAGCCAGTAAGCAGCGTTCCTCCATGGTCTGTGCTCCAGGTTCCTGCCCCTAGTTCTTGCCTTGGCTTCCCTTGATGATGAACTGTGACCTGGGAGTTGTAAGACAAAACAAACCCTTTCCTCCCCAACTTCATTTTGGTCAGTGTTTTTAATCATAGCAATTGAAACTAGAACAGTTGATGCATTGTTTGAGAACAAAGACTTGCAGTGAGAATCAGAGACCACCACAGAAATTCTACCATGTCCAAAAATGGTTGCTTAGCTCACAGATAAGCACCTGCAGCAATCCTGAGCAGACAACCTTTGTATCTGATGCCACAAAGAAAAACCCATCACTTGTCACCTCTCAAGTCATTTGAGATATTCTTCAAACTTTTCTTCTTCTCATCTACTTTCTGATCTATTACTCTTCTTTCAATTAATCTTTCTCTTTTTTCAGTTTTTATCATGTTTCTACATCCAAGAGCGAACAATATTCACTTGTACTGTAAGTTTGAGGGAAACCTGGGCTACACAGTGAGTTTGAGGGCAGCCTAGGTTACATAGAAAGAGCCTGTCTCAAAGAAGTGAATATATGCCAGGCATGGTGGTGCATGCCTTTAATCCCAGCACTTGGGAGGCAGAAGCAGGAGGATCTCTGTGAGTTTGAAGCCAGCCTGGTCTCAATAGCGAGTTCCAGTCCAGTTGGGGCTACAGGGAGACATTGTCTCAAAAAGACCAAAAAAAAAAAAAAAAGAATAAAATAAAAGATAAAAATAAAAGTTATCGTATATATTTCAGGTATATACCATGATGTTATAGGATACATATAGAGACTAAAAGGTAAGTACAGTGAAGCAAATTAACACCTCACGTACTTATTTTGCTTGCTAATTTATTGGTAAGCTCTATTAAATCAACTCCTTTAGCATGAATCCTATCACAGTAATTAACCCAACACAGTAGGTTTGCATCTTGGTGATCATAAAACCCAATTGAGCATGGCCAAGAAATAAAAGAATGAAGAAAGATTTATTACTTGCAGTAGGTGAGGAGAACACAGGAATTGTTTTGTTCCCAAAGCAGTGTTCTCAAAGGAAACATGGATTTCGTTTCAGGCACTTAAACATATTTGTATAGGAAAGCACTTTAGGGGTGGGAATGTTCCTGAGACTGTTCAGTTAAGAAATACATTTTTTGAGTATGTTCAGTTCAAGGTCATAGCTTAAGAAAGAAAGATGATGGGCACATTCTTGAGCATGCTTAGTTCAGGGTCATGAAGCACACGTTTAAAGGGTTAAAGAGGTGGATAGGAACACTTTTAGGCATGCCGAGCTTGTATCATAAATACGGCAGATAAGAACGTCTCTGGGCATGCTCAGTTTTCTACATAACACTTCCAAAAGTTGTAAAAAGGAAAGGATACTTTGAAAGTACATTAATATAGGAGTTTGCCCTTACAGGTACCTGCTCTGTTTATCAGCCAACAGACACAATTCTATCACGGCTAGTCTTCATGCTGCACATTAGATTTCTTCTCAGTTTCTTAAAGTGAAATTGTGTTATCATCAATGGTCCTTCTCTCAATTTCCGCTGTTAAGTCAGGTAATTGGTGCGTATGGTTCATTTCACATCTAAGATACATTTAAACTACTAGTTTGAGCTTGCTAAAATTCTAAACCATGGCTCTTATATGTTGTTCACACCCAACTATCCCCCTCACCACCTCCCTTTACCCCAGTCCATTCCAGAGTAGTACCCTACTCCGTCATTGCCAGGCCTGAAATCTCTACTTCCTGAATACTGTCTCTTGCTTCCACTTGAATGCTATATTTTCACCTTTAGTTCCTTTTATAGTACTTCTTATCACCCACCTCCTCCTGTTCAGTCTTTACATCAGCACATTCCAGTTTTATATGCTCTGTATAGTTTTACCAATGCAATTAAAGAACTATGTCCAAACATTCTTCTCATCTCTCTACTCCAGGCTCTATGTCTGATCATGCCTTAATATCTTCAGCTGCCTCTTGAAAATCTTTTCTAAATGCATTGGAATTTAGTAAGTACTTTCCCAATTTAACTTGCTCAGCTACCTTTTCTCATATACATATATGGAATATACATATATATGTATATATAAATGCCTCTAGGGAAAGAATTCCCAGATTTTTGCTGCTGTTGCTAATCGTTCTGTATAGCCCCACTCTTCTCAGACTCTGATTGTGAACAGTAGCAGGACTGAACTACTGAACATCTAGTATGGAGAAATGTAGTAAGATGAACAAACATCACTCCTCAGAATGTACACATTTCGGCTCCCTTTCACCAGTCCATCCTCCTCTTCCCACACCTTTCCAGTTTATTTGTGTGGTTCTTGCCCTCCTTGTTGCCAATATTCTCTCACTCATCCTAGTAATTCACCTTCTGGTTCTACCTCAGTTCCTTGCATAACCTAAGAATATTTCCCCTATAACTTTCACCTCTTCCTGCTTCCTAAGGCCCTTTCAGTTACTCTTGACCCTCGTGAGCATTCTCAACCTTCAGTCTTCCCATTTCTCTCATGCTGGCCTCTCTTCTGTCTTTATTTACCCAGTTTGAGTCCTGTGCTGATATACACAATTCCTTTTCTTACCAACACCCTCAGCTCCCTACCAATAAGCTTTTGTCTATAATTCCTATACCAATCCACTGCCTGGGCAGCATCTTACCTCATCTGACCTCTCAGGTCTGCATCCTTGCTTAGGCTACCTGCAGTCTCATCCAAATGTCCTACTAAATGCCAGGTCCACTGATTACTCCTGGTTTAGACTACCCCATTTTCTTCCAAGCTGTCATTTATGGATGAATGAAATGAAAACCTTGCATTTCTATTATGATATACTAGTTTAAAATGTTCTCGGATATCTATGTTATTTTATCCACAAGATAACTTATGGAGTGGAAGCTCAAGATAATATGGCAGCTGAAAAAAAAGGCAGTGCACATAAGTTTTGTCCTACTTAAGCTCTTGGTTTTAGAGTACAACTACAGGGGCTGGAGAGGTGACTCAGTGGTTAAGAGCACTGGCTGTTTTAGCAAAAGACCCGGGTTTGAATCCCAGAACCACATAGCTGCTAGCGACAGTCCATAACTCCACTCCCAGGGGATCCTATGCCTCTACCATCCTCCGTAGGCACTGCATGGCACAGGCACACTTATACACAGCCAGGCATAATACTCATACACATAAAACAAAAATAAATTTAAAAAAATTCTTAAAGGCATAGAACTAGTTATAACAAGATGATTATTATTTTCTTTCAGTCCTTCTGAGATAGCTGTGCTATGCCCAGTTATCCTCTTGCTTGCTAGTTGTGAAGATGACAGATGTAGATGGACAATAAAGACATTAATTGAAAAGAGACATTTATAGGACCACTGTTAAAAAGTACCACTGGGGACTCAAGATCAGTTTCCTGTATGTAATCATCCGAGAAGCAAACATTCAGGTTGTAACTCTTTGGTCAGAGAGAAAAAGAAACTCAAACTCCACACCAGCCAAGCTGCTTTATGTCCTCCATGCTGGCTTTCACAACCAAAGCACAAAAGATGAAAGATCAAACACTGGAAGAGCAGCCGAACTCAGAGGCGGGAATATAGGTGGAAAACAGAGCAATTTTAAATTTGCAACAGGAAACACCTTTCAGAAATAATTATTGTATATGTATAATTGATATGCAGATAGTAGTAATGTTGAACAAAGACCCTAATTAAAATGTTAAACAAATCTTGTGAGATATGTGAAAAACATCAATGTCTGTACAAATCTCTGAGCTTCTTGGATAAAAAACATTACATTACATTTGTACTTCTGTGTGTATATGGACATGCATATGACAAAATTAACATTGCTAACCACATTAGGACTGCCCTGTCTCAACAAAAGCATAAATATTCAGCAAAATAATCATTTACCTTATAGAAGATCAACAAAAGGTCATCCAATTTCCCATGCAAATCACCTGGAATACATATGAAAAGTCACTATGTAGCAGGAAGCAAGACACAATGCTCATGCTATTATAGAATTTTAAATCTCAAACACTCCAAGTGTTCTCAGGGTACTGGGTTCTCACCTTATGTTGATACTAATTCAATAGACAATTGGTTTCTACAGGACTCTTTTTCCCCTTCTATGGTATTGGGGGGAGCGGTATCTGGGGGTATTTGGAACTGTTTGCTCTAGCCATCACTGCAGGGCTTTACTTACTCTGACCTAAGCCCTGTACCACAGACTATGTTTATTATCTTGTTCACTTCTCACAACCACTCTGAGATGAGCAGTATTTTCATCATTCTTATTTTCCAAATGGGGCTCAGAGCAGTTAAGTAACTTATGTAGTTATGCAGCCACCAAATATCAGAGCTGGAATTCAAACCCAGAATTATCTCATTTCAAAATTCAAACTCTAAGTAGTTTTTTCTGTACTGCCTACATTGCAATCCTTAGGGAGCAGCAAAAGTTCTTATCACAGGCAGCATTAAATCTCCAAGGACCTACCATAGTAGCATGCAAATTGCAAACATTCAATACATACATTTAATCACTAAATCATAGCTTTTTCATGTTTTGTTTTGGTTTTATTGTTGTTGTTGTTTAAGACAAGGTACTCCAGTACAACTCCGGCTGGCTTGAAACTTATGATTCTCCTGTCTTTGACTCTAGAGTGCTGGGATTGCAAGTGTGAACTACCATATCTGTCTAATGCATAGCTTTTGAAAGAATTAAATAATATGCTTCCCAGCAATGCATCTGAAATTTAAAGATCCTGAGTATGTAGTTGAGATTCTTTTGATGAGACAATTAGAGGAAATAAAAACAAAAGCTAACTAAGAGTAAGTATTGAATATTTAAGTCATTAATTAAAAAATAAGGCGTGACAATCCCTATTTAGATAAGAATTTCTAGGCAAATTGTCTACCTTACATAACCTTTGCTCACAAATTTTTACTCAACTTAATTACCACAGAATTTAATTTAGGAACACTTTTCCTCACTTTGTTTCAAATCCCACAACCAAATAAATCAAACGCATGCAATGGAAGACTCCAATTACACTGGAAATAATAAAATTAAAATCTCATATCACCCGCACTTATTTATAAGACTATCATAATAAGATTAAGAGTTTATTTTAATGAATACTTAATTGTCATTACGTTTACATAGTCTCCAAAGAAAAGGAAATAAAGATAGACTTTTTACTTATCAAGTTAACATAAGTTGTTAATTATTTATTTTCCTCATTTTCTTCAGAGTGATTTGACTTTTAAAATCTGAGTACATAGTACAAGGCATGGTGACACAGGCCTTTAATCCCAACACTCAGGAGGCAGAGGCAGGGGGATCTCTGTGAGATAGTGGCTACAGGAAGACCCCTCTCAAAAAACAGAATTCTGAGTATATTTCAGGAGAGATCGTTCAGTGGGTAAAGTATTTGCTTAGCAAGCATGAAGACCTGAGTTCAGATCCCTAAAACCCATGTAAAAACTGGGTGCAGTGGCAAATATCTGTAACCACAATCCTGGGGGTGGGCAGAGAGAGGCAGCTGCCTGGAGTTCACCAACCAGCCAGCCTTGCCAATCAATGAGCTCCAGGTTCAGTGAAAGACCATGCCTCAAAACATAAGATGGACAGCAATTGAGGAAGGCACCCAACAACCACCTCTGGTCTTCACACACACGCATCTTTCTTTCTCTCTCTCTCTCTCTCTCTCTCTCTCTCTCTCTCTCTCTCTCTCACACACACACACACACACACACACACACACACACACACACACACACCATACACACACACACACAAAATCTGAATATACAGGACTACAATAGCTGGTATGCTAAAAAATGAACTTGTTTCAGCATATCAAGAGCTGAGAGTCCTTGATTCAATTCCCAGCAGAGAACAAAAAGGAGTATAAAATATTTTTAATTTCCAGTTGGGCAGAAAATATACATATTCTACCATAAGAAGACAGACAAGGATATTTTCACTGCAAACAGAAACATGAGAGCAGAATTAATTATGTTATAACATTAACTGTAAACTAAAAAAAAACAAAAACAAAAAGCCCTCAAGAAGGCTAAGGCAGGAAGATCGAGAATTCAAAATCATCCTACATTGTGTAGTGAGTTCCAGGCCAGCTTGGACTACATAATGAGATGCTAGCAAAATTAAAAAAAAAAAAAAAAAAGAAGAAGAAAAGGAAAAAGAAAAAGAAAGAAAAAGAAAAAGAAAAAGAAAGGGGGCTGGAGAGATGGCTCACCAGTTAAGAGCCATCTCTTAACTGGCTACTCTTGAAGAGGACCCAAGTTTGATTCCCAGCACCCACATGATAGCTAACAAGTGTGTGTAACTCCAGTTTCAGGGGATCCAACACCCTCTTCTGACCTGTGGGCATTGCATAACATGGGTGCACTTACACACAGGCAGGCAATCTACTCATACACATAAAAAAATAATAAAATATTTAAAAAGAAAGGAAGGAAGGAAGAATAGAAGGGAGGGGGGGAAGGAAGGAAGGAAGGAAGGAAGGAAGGAAGGAAGGAAGGAAGGAAGGAAGGAGCAAAGAAAGAAAATATATGTAAAGAAAATGCATTGGCTTTGGCTTTTCCATTTATCAATGGTGTTATATGCAAAAATGTCTGGAAACAATGCCTAAAATATGGGGATCCTTAAATGAATGGATCTGTCCAGTCTACCTAAAACCTCAACATTTGTCTGATAATGATAACTGAAATATTAGCCAGACAAGCGCTAATATGACACTGCCTCTAACCTAGAATACAGAAGACCTGATTTTTAGTTTATTTTTTAATATTTTACTTATTTTTTATTTATGTGTATGAGTGTATTGCCTGCATGCATGTAAGTGCATCTGTGTCGTGCAGTGCCTACGGAAGTCAGAAGAGCACATTGGATCCCCTGAAACTGAAGTTGGATGGTTGTTAGTCTCCATGTGGGTGTTGGGAATCGAACCCAGGTCCTCTGTAAGAGCAGCCAGTGATCTTAACCACTGAGCCATCTCTCCAGTCCCAAGAAGACGTAATTTTTTTTTTTTTGGTCTTTTTGAGACAGGGTCTCCCTGTAGCTCCAGCTGTCCTAGAACTCAGTACCTAGACCAGGCTGGCCTTGATCTCACAGAGATCGCCTGCCTCTGCCTCCCGAGTGCTGGGATTAAAGGTGTGTGCCACCACAACTAGCTGAGGAAGCTGGGGTACGGGTTACTACATAGAAATGCTATCTGTCTATCTATCATCTATCTATCTGTATCGATCAGTATATATGTATACAATTCAGAGCAAGAGATAGGGGCTGGGAATGAGCACATGCAAGGCCTTAGCATGTGCAAGGCCCTGGGTTTGATCCATAATACTGAAAAGACAAACAAGTTTTTAAAACTTTAATTTTTTAAATAAGGGGAGTAGAACATCTCTGTAAGGGCCCTTCAGTTCTCATACTGTGAGATTCTAGGATTTCCACATCCTCTAATTACTTTCTTCTTCCACATCCTTCTAGTCAAATATTGCTCTGCAATGGCAACTGGGGGTCTAATAGAAGCACATGGGAGTAGATCCCACCATCTGTTTGGGTCTGTTATGTATACGCCAATAGTAAACCTAGCCCTGGCTTCACAGGTGTCACAGGTTGGCATGGTTTCCTGAATCTTATCACCCAGCTTTCTTCATTTCCATCAAAAGCTTGAATAAAAAGGTCTTCAGGCTGCAGTGCATCATCTGCTAGAGAGATCTGGTGGCTTGATTAGGTTGAAATTGAACCATTAGAGGCGCTTCAAAAACCTGAGTCAGGGCATGCCAAGAGGTATGCACTGCTATAGCAATTCCCTGTCACCACTATCAGATGCTAGAAATGGAAATGGTTTAATTAGATTGTCAAATCCACTTCTACCTGACAGAGTAAGAGAACATGGGTTAAAAACTGATTTGGAAAATAACAATCACTGTTTTGTAACCTAAAGGCTTAATTAGAAGTTAAGGGAATTGCTGTTCCTTCCATGCACCCCACTCCCAGACAGTTGCTAGCATGCTGAGCACCAACTGTGATGAATTTCAATGTGTACTGTTTCTTGAAGCAGTATCCTGCCAGGCTGGCCTATATGATAACAAAATCTCAAATCTTGTTATTTAGAAGAACAAGAAACAGATTTTTGGGACATTCCCACTCTTTTAAAAGCTGCAAAGACCAGTTGGAAAAATCTAAAACAGCAGCCAAGGGTAGAAAAGGATTTAATCTCTGCCTGCCTTTGGGTTTTCTCTTCCCCGTATAAGTGGCAGAGACCCACCTGGAAAAAAGCAACACAGAGCAGAGGTAATGAGAGCTAGTCAGAGGGCAAAGAACAGTTATTCTACCCATGGGTGGCTTTCCATATTAAAATGCTATCTGCCTTTATAAAAAGCTACAAGAGTTCTTTAATTTCTCACATAATTAATTCTTGCCAGCTGGTATGCAAAACAAAGACAAGATGGGGAACAGTATTATCCTGATAGATAATTCTATATTAACATTTTTCCCTTAACACCATCCAATTTACATAGTTTTCAAGTTAGGCAAATGATGCAGGACCAAGAGTCTCCTAAATATTAATTTGACAACTCTCCTCTGAAACTTACCACAGATCGTTATCTCTTTGGAGGGCAAAGTTTTTATCTGAGTGAAATTCGGCATTTGCTTCAGGACTTTTCTGGCTTCAAATAGGACCTCTAAGACATAATGAGCATGAAGTATCTGTGAGGGGGAAGCAGAGGAAATAGATATAATGAACTAGGAATAAAGACATGACTGTGTAGAAAACTATAAAGATGAAGCATACAAGCACATTTTAGGTTACTGTGTTTCAGGACAATCTTTAAATTATTCTCAAATAAATTATTCTAGCATAGTGTCTGGCATACAAAAAGCCCTCCGTAGATATCTGTAATGGGATGAACGAGTGGCTCCTAGGATATTTAGACTTTCATGTTCATTATCCACTTGCAGAATATTTCTGATTGTTCTTGGTCCTTAGATTCCAAAGAAGTAATAGGGAAAAAGGAGCTCATTTGACAAAAGAAAATGTGCAAAAGAATAACAAAAAGAATTTTAAAAGAGAAGGAAAAAGGGGCTGGAGAGATGGCTCGATGGTTGGGAATACTGGCTGCCCTTGTAGAGGACCCAAGTTTGATTCCCAGGACCCACTCATACACTTAAAATAAAAATAAATTTTTAAAAATAAAAGAGAAGAAAAAAAGAGAAACAAAAGAAAAAGAAAGAAAGCAGAGAGTCAGTGGAAGAGTTATACTGCGTTTGTTGAGAAAGCCAGCCAATTGAGATAGAAAGTAGGTGCTGGGGCTGGACGGATAGCTCAGCGGTAAAGAGCACTGGCTGCTCTTGCAGAGGACCTGGGTTCGTCTCCCAGCACCCACATGGCAACTAACAACCATCCATTACTCCAGTTCTAGGGGATCCAACACCCTCTTCTGGCCTCTGTGGGCATTGCATGACATGGGTGTGCTTACATGTATGCAGGCAATACACTCATACACATGAAAAAAAAAAAAAACAATAGGCCCTCGCTGCTGAACTCAGATATGTCAAAGATACCCACAGAAGCTCTTGAGCTTCCTGGGTGTGGCTCCAGTATTTAGTGTACAGAATGCTCAGTACAAGAGCACATTTGTATCAAATCCTAACTAGAAGATATTCCAAACCCAAATAAAACACTTGGATTATCTTCTACTTGTGCCTATCTCACCACTATTTTCCATTTAGGCTAGGTATTGAGATCATTGTTTCCTACAGATATACTCTGTTTTCTCTCCTAAACTTTTAAAAATCCAGTGTGCCATTTCTCTGGGTTTTTTAATTATGAAATATTCCAAATACATAATTCAAAAATAAAAGATAACTGGGATGTGATTACCACACAAACTTAACTAATATCAGCACAACTTTAAGGTTCAGGTCCATTTAGACCCAGGATGTCCAACATGGCAGCCACTAGCTACATGAGATAACAGATTTGAAATGCCAGTTAGTTTGAATTGAGATGTGCTATAAGATCAAAATTCATGGACTGGAGAGATGGCTTAGCTGTTAAAGGCTCAGGCTCACAACATAAACATCAAGAACAAAATTCACACTGGATTTCAAAGACTTGCTATGAAGAAAAGTAAAATGTCTCAATAATTTTAATAAGATTATAGATTGAAATATTTCACATATGAGATATACTGAATTAAATGATATATTATTAAAATTGATTTCATCTTTTTTTCAATTTAAATGTGACTATTAGTAAATTCTAAATATATGGTTAATATGTTTCTATTAGAAAAAGTGTCTTAAGATGGGTGTGGTGGTGCATGCCTTTAATGCCAGCACTCAGGAGACAGAGGCAGGCCTACATATCAAATTCCAGGACAGCTGGGTCTGCAGGGAGACCCTTTCTCAAAAGACAAAAAAAAAGTTTTTAAAATTATTGAAGGCTGAGAGAGTGGTCATATCTATGGATCTTTCAGATATGGTTCTGGGATTGGGACTGAGGGCAGACAGAGCCCTTTAGACTCATCCCAGCTCATGAGATACTGAAATTAAGTCTTGAGAATATTTATATTTAAATAATTGTTAAAAGAGACAAAAATGGAGATTAATGGGAATGTGAGAATTAGGAGGAAGTAAAAGAGTCTGGATATTGATTAGTGAGGAGAGGCCCATGTTTCCAATGTCTACCTAAGACTTGATGGACTAGTTAGTCTTTTCCACACAAAAGCATTCTAAAGTCAATCCACAGTTTGATTTAAAACTTGAATGAACACTTTCCTTCAGCTGTGTTTTATTTCCCTTTATTGTTTCCTATTTAATTATTTTTTTGAGACAGTGTCTCACTCTGTGCCCCAGGCTGGCCTCATCTAGCAATCCTCCTGTCTCAGGCTCCCAAGTCCTTGGATTAAGATTTTATTGTTTGGTTTTTTAAATTTTTCATTTATTTCTTTTATGGGGGAGGTGTGGGCACGTGAGGTACCATGGTGCATGTGTAAAGGTTAAAGAACAGTTTGTAGGAGTTGGTTCTTTCTACCATGTGGGCTCCAGGGATCAAACTCAGGTCCTTGGGATTGGCAGCAGGTCCCTTTACCCACTGAGCCATTTCACTGGCCCCTGGATTAAGATTTTAAAAGAACTGACAAGAACACTGCTGTTTAATGGCTTGTTTCAGTATGTACATTTAATCTAGTGATTCCCAATGCTGGCTTAATTTGCCATTATAGCTTTTTCTGGTTGTGATGGCTAATCCTGGGTGTCAACTTGACTGGATCTGGGATTAACTGAAATGAGAGAGATCTTCTTGATTGGATCATCTGAAGCTGAAAGACACACCCTAAATGTGGGTGTTACCTCTGATGGCAGCCCATATAAAAGGCCATGGCAGAGGAGAACGCCTGGCTTCTTGCTGTTTGCCTTCTCTCTCACTGGTGAGTTCATCTTGTTGCTGTTGACTGAAGACAAGCTGATCTTTTGGAATTCATCAGACCTTCACCATCAAATTGGGACTACTCTTGCTGCTGTAGACTGAAGACTAGCTAGCTGATCTTTTGGAATTCGTCAGACCTTCAGTGCCAGATTGGGACTACTGATACATCCAGCCTCGTGGACTGAGCTGCTATGGATTCTCAGCCTCTCCAGTGTGGTGCAGCCATTGTTGGACTACTCAGACTCTATCCTGTGAGCTAAGCTGATAAATCTCTATACATATATATTCATTCTACCAGTTCTCTTTCTTTGGAGAACCTGACTAATACACTGGTCTATTGTACTACTAAGCAGAGTAATTGTTGTCTGAAGGGTTATTTTCAAATATTAACAAATATTCACTAAGAATATCTTGCAACCACAGAAAAAGTCTTAATATTAAAATAGTTTTCTGGATCCTCTTTAGATTAACTGAAATAACGTTGTTAATATTAGTACTTGCTTATAAGGCTCTATTTAAGTAGGGTTATAATAGTTGTGTTTACAGCTGAATATTAAATATTCAAAGAAGTTCATTCAAATGTTGGCTTATATGTTTATAAATATATCAGATTAAAGAACCACTTAAATAAAACATTCATATCCTTTCATAAGTACTGAAGGAGAAAACTAAAAGTTTTCAAGAATATTTTCCTCTTTTGTTAGAGAGAGAGAGAGAGAGAGAGAGAGAGAGAGAGAGAGAGAGACTGACTATGTAGCTCTGGCTGTCCTGGAATAAGCAAAGTAGTCTAGGCTAGCCTTGAACTCGTAGCAATCCTCCTGCTCCTTCCTCCTAAGTGCTGGATTACAAACACGTGCCACCATATCTGGCTTAAGGATATTTCTATTTTTGAGTAGTTTTTAAATGGACAAACAACACAGTATTCTGCTGAAATAAAAATGCATTGTTAAAAAGGAGTGGAATAATGAAAAGTGATCTTCCCTTTTCCCCAAACCTTAGTCTCCAACCTCTCTCTGTCCCTAGAGACAGCCACTGTTGGCAATGACTTGAGTATCTTTCCCCAAAATATTTTTTGTTTATAAGAATATAAAAATTAGAAGAACCATATATAAATATTCAAAAGTAGGTATAAATGTATAACCTCTTAAATAAATATGATATTACATATGCAAAGAAATCATATTAAATGAAAAATAGAACGGAAGTACTGGTACATGCAATAACATGGATGAATTCTTAAAAACATTAAGCCAAGTGAAAGAATCCTGACACCAAAGGCCACATATGTTCCAGTTACATAGAACACCCAGATTAGATAATCTGTAGAAACAGAAAGTAAACTTTCAGAGTCTGAGATATATGGAAAAGAGTGACTGCTAATGAATATAAAATTTCATGCTGAGGTGAAAAACACGTTTGAGAAATAGAAGCACTTGTCTAGCATGCACAAGGCTGTGGGTTTAATCTTTAATACTGAAAAAAGAATAAAACTTTTAAAAGTTCTAGAAATAGATAGTGATGATGGCTGTATAGCATTCTAATATACCCAAACCACCAAATCATGTACTTTGAAATAGATTAAATGATCAATTTTCTTTTTAAAAAATGACCAATTTTCTTATATTAATTTTTGTTGCTGTTTTGTTCTGTTTTGATGGGTCTCCCTAGTCCCACGTGGACCAGATTGGCCTCAATCTTACAGAGATTCACCTGCCTTTGCCCCCCAATGGCTGGGGTTAAAGGTGTGTGCCACCACATCTGGCTTTTATATGAATTTTATCTCAGTTAAAAAATATATAACCTGTTATTTGTTTTTACAAATGAGAATGCATTGTATATTGTTTTGAACCTTGATTCTTCCCTTAGTCATTTAAATTTTCCTACTTATAAACTTAAAATTATTAATCTTCTCTATAATGGTTCCTTGAATTGGTGTATGGTTTATCTCCTTAGACACATTAATCATATTTATGTTGTTCTGAGTGTAATAATGTCATATAAACACTCTACAGGTCTCTTTCCATCATATGTTAATCTCAGTTTTGTTTCACACATCGTATATCCTCCTGTGCCTGGTTATACCTGTACTGAGTACTGGACATTGTATATGAAAAAATACAAAAATAACGGGGCGTGGTGGTACACATCTTTAATCCCAGCACTCAGGAGGCAGAGGTAGGCGGATCTCTGTGAGTTCAAAGCCAGCCTGGTCTCCATTAGAGAATCCAGGCCAGCTGTAGCTACAGAGAGACCTTGTCTCAAAAAAGGCCAAAAAAAAAAAAAAAAAAAAAAAACCACAAAAATAACTTCAGGCCTATTTTCTTCCAGAGGCTTTAAATTCTCTGTTGGCAGGTGGCCAGGACTGGATACCTGGTATGATCTCAATTCAATTGCAAGAATTAGATGATTCAAAGCTGTGTTCCTGCAAAACCAATCGACTTCCAGTTCACTCTTACTTCTGACATACACCCCTTAGGGTCAAAATCTGAGAATGAGGGTTTGGGATGATGTCACAGAAAATGGTGGTGAGGGAACTCCAATACCCAGTCACTTCATAGAAATATTGAAAAATCAAGGAAAATTGTGTCAGAATAGATTTGTCAAACTCTTCTAATAACAAACAAACATTGAATCAAAAAAAGGGAAATTTGGCAATGTCTCAACACATGCATGGTAAGATTTGTAAGTAGCCTGGCCAAGCAGTGAAGGAGTGTTCCAACATAGAGGAAGCAATGTGCAAAGACGAGGAGACAGGTTTTCTTCCTTCTTTTTCCTTTTGTTTTCTTCCCTTTCTTTTCTTTCCTCTCTTCCTTTTCTTGCTTTCTTTTTCTTTCTTCCTTTCTTTTGGCTTCTGGTATTCAAGAAAATCTCTGTAAAAACATTAACTGATCACAAGCTAAAGGAACAGAGACTTTGAATTAAACCTAACAGACATCTATAGAATATCTAACCTAGCAAAAGAAGTCTACACATTTTTCTTAGGTACACATGGAACATTCTCCATGATAGACCAGATGTTAGGTCAAAAAATAAACCTCAGTATATTTAAAAAGACTGAAATCATGTAAAGTAGCTTCTTTGACCAGAATAGAAAGAAACTAGCAATCAGTAGCAAAACTGGGAAGTTCAGGGGGTCTGGAGAGATGACTCAGGGGTTCAGAGAGCTTACTGCTCTTATAGAGGAGCTGGGTTCAGTTCCGAGCACCCACACGGTGGCTCACGACCATCTGTAACTCCAGTTCCAGGGGATCCAGTGCCCTCATCTGGCCTCCCTGCATGCCCATGGTGCACATAAACACAAAGAACACACACACAAACACTTAAAAATTAAAAAATAAATATTTTTAACTAGGAAATTCATAAATATGTGACAATCATACAACAAACTGTCAAACAATCAATTGGCAAAGAAAAAAATTAGGAAATTCTTTGGGGGCTCGAGAGATGGCTCAGTGGTTAAGAACACTGACTGTTCTTGCAGAAGTCCTGGGTTCGAATCCCAGCACCTACATGGCAGCTAACAACTGTCCGTAACTCCAGTTCCAGGGGATCCTACAGCCTCTGTCCTCTGTGGGCACTACATGACACACATGCACTCACCTACATGCAGGCAATACATACATACAGATACATACAGATAAAATAAAAATAATAAATTAAAAAAAAACATTTAAAGAAAATTCTTTGGGATGAATGCAAATAAAAGCACAACATACTCAAACATAGGAGAGATAGCAAAATCATGCTCAGAGACAAACATATAACTGTAAATGCTTACATTTAAAAAGAAGACTCTTAAATCATTAGCCCAACAACACTTTAAAGAAAAACACTCACATGCACTCAATTACCTTAGTTGACATAGGAAAAGCATTTGACCAAATCCAACACCTCCTATGATAAAAACACTCAGAAATCAAAGAATAGAAGGAAACTTCCTTAACATGATAAATGGTATTTATGGAAAACCCAACAGCTAACATGAAACCCAAAGGTAAAATACTAAACACATTCCTTCTAAGACTAGGAACAAAATAAACACCCACTTTTGCTACTGTTATTCATTATTGTACAGGAAGTTCTAGACCAAAGCAATTACTCAATAAATTTTTTTAACATATAAATCAGAAAGTAGAAAGAAGTAAGACTATCTCTACTCACAGATCACATGATCCTGTATTTAGATAATCTCATAGCATCCACAAACGTAGAACTATCAGTGCTGATAGTTACAGTCATTAAAATTGGAGTATAAGATCAACATACAAGGCATAAACAATCCAAACAGGAATCAAGAAAGCAATTCCTCTTACAGTAGCGACCAAAAATAATAAAATCCTAAGAAGAAATTTAACCCAGGTTGTGAAATATCTGTCCAGTGAAAACTATAAAACATCACTGAAAGAAATTAAAGGTATCAATAAAGGGAGAGACACCTGTGTTCATGTGTTAAAAAAACTTAATATTGTCAGGATGGCAATACTGCTCAAAGTGATTTAAAGAGTCAATGCAAATCTACTAATCTCTCTTTTTTTTGCAGAAATGAAAAATTTGATGTTCAAATTCCTTGCAAGAGGCCACAAACCACCAAAACAATATAGAAAAGGAAGAATAAAGTTGAAGGACTCACATTTCCCTATTTCAAAACTTACAAAGCTACAATAGTCAATATAGGGTGGTAGTGGCATAACGATACACACATAGACCAAAGGAATAAAGAGTCTAGAAACAAATCTATACATCAAAGGACTTGCTGATTTTTGACAAGAATGACAATCATGGGTAAAGAAGGTGTTTGGACAGCTGCGTATCTATATGCAAAGAATGAAGTTTGACCTCTAACACACACACAGATACACACAAAAATAAATAAATAAATAAATAAATAAATAAATAAATAAATAGGAATCTTTATAAGCACAGATTTAGCAATGGATTGCAAAAGCAGAAGCAACAACAAAGATAAACTGAAGTTCATTAATATTAAAAAAATTGTGTATCAAAGTACATTGTCAAGAATGTAAAAAGACAATATACACAAAGAGCAAAGTATTTTCCAATCAAATCTATAAAGAGCTCTTACAATTCAATAATAAAGAAGATAACTGATTTTGAAATGGGCAAAGAATACGCATATACAGTTCTCCAAAGAACATATACAAATGGCTAATAAATAGATGAAAAGATGTTCAACAGTATTAATTATTAGAGAAATTCCAGTCAGAACCACAATTAAGCATCAC